GTATCACTGGTATGCGGGGGAGTTGCATTTCCTTTTTTCAAATTATGATCTATGGCAATTAACTTTATTTTAAATACTAATTAGAGTCAAAGAACATACCATATTTTCCACATACAATTAGGAAATACTACGTATTTTACGTAATATCTACATTTTCATGTACTATCAGATAAACATAATGAATAATATCTACTATCAGATAAACATAATGAATAATATCCAATGATTTGTTGGAACGTTATTTTTATTATATACCTACTACATTTATTACCTTTATTCTGTAGGTAAATAAAACTTATTTATTGACATGAAATGCTTTTAAATTACCTAGTTCCCTACTCTAACATACGGTAATATAATTTATATGATATAAAAATGTAAAGTACAATTTACAAACCGGACATTGTTTGACAATAAATCCATTATTTATTATTACTGTCGAAATTTAGGGCAATAAAATGTCGTGTTAGAGATTATCATGTTTGACCCACCCAAAAAAGTTCTAAAGCTTAATCGCTCTGGTTGACTATTATCTAGTTATTTATTACTTGTATTTAGACCGTTTTGATATTAAAAGTTGTGGATTTTGAATTTTATAACAGTGATATTAAGAAGTAGATAACTACTGGGTGGTCATGTGAAAATTCACCCAAGTAAGTGTTGAAGTAGGTAACTATTTATGTAAAAAATATGGAAAGTAACATGTTTTTCGCAAATGGGAATTTTGACTACACATTGAAAATATTTTTTTAAATAGTCCTTTACTACAAAATGATTAGTTGAGATTTTGATTTTACAAATTTGGTTTTGTTTAACAAGAAATATCTCTTACTGAAAAAATAGATCATTCTTGTTGACACAACATTTCTAATACATTAGCATTCGCGTTTCGAAAATCTTACTCTTTTCATGCTCAAAACTCAAACTGACTTAAGACATATTTTTTAATTTGTTATTATTAGGTAAGTAATAACAGAATAAATGTGCTATTTTATAGAGATATATCTTAATACCTACTTATAACGAACGTATATGTTTTGTAATTACCATGAACAAGTTGATACTTAGTATTTACATATAATTTACTACTATTTTTTTTACTACTATTTGCTAAGACAGTTACATTTTTAGGAAAGTTGTATTTTCTAAAATCACTGTACTTTAACTGAATATGTTTTCCCTGATTTTTAATTTTGTATAAGATAATTTAATGTTACTAAAATATTTTTCTAAATGATATTGAAATTATGTTTTAAAATAAATGGTAATGTGAAGCAAATAATTTATTTATATGTAACTTAATTTTCATGTATTCTGATAAACACGAAAAAGTTATGATGAAATGATCAGTGACAATCATAGATCGCATAATATAGGAATATTTATATATTTTATGTGATCCAATCTGTCCAGGTTGTGCATTCTAAATGTAAGTTTTTGCAAGTCAAATTCACCATATTTGAAACAAAACATAAATATAATGTTTTACGAACGATATATACTTGAAACAGCCAATCATTTGACTGTTATACATATCATCGTTCAGTTACTAAACTTTTTTTTGTAGAAGAACGGCATTTGTGTAAAGATTAATATGTATAGGTTGAATTTTATGGGCAAAAGGGAGAATATGTTTTGTAGAAGACTGAATTTGATTTGCAAAAGAGTGAACTTGAAAAAGTTTAAATTGGAACTTACCCTTATGATTTATTTGTAATATAAAATTGGATCAATCGAATAAAATATGTAGCCAATGATCATCAAGGTAAACTGAAGAATATCTTGTTGTTAATATGACAAAGGCTGGATACCTTCGTTTACTGCTTTTCTTTGTAAGAGAAGAGGTATTGGATGAATGACTGTTTATTTCAGGTATGTATATTATATAATAATGTAAAATATTTACCTATACTTGGTCCCAAGAAAGTGGATCTGACTTAACAAGATGTTGAATTTGGAGTGTTGCTCAATTTCTACTTGGAATATGCCCATATAATAATAAACATCTGCTTTTTGTAAGAAACAAGGACAAATTGAAATTTGATGTTTCTTTTTTTTTAGAAGTTGATTATAACCTACATAGCTGGAACACTGAAGCACTCTTAAATAAGTGACATTAAATACAGGATGTAGGTAAATGAAGGAGCATACAAGCTACCAGATAATCTTGAGGCAAAAAATATGATAATTGCGCCAAGGCTGCTTCATTTGCTAGTTATGGGTTTTTCTGTAAAATCTTCAAATAAGCAAATACCTTCAAATATATTTGACGTAGATTCATCAAATTTGGGATGGCGACTTATCTTAATAAATGTAAAAATTCACTGAATTTGTATGTAATTTTGTCAACTAGTGGCAGAGGTACTGGGAGACACCCTCACAAAAAAATCGAAGAAGTTCTCAATCACATTTCAAAGAAAAACGGTTTTATTTAAGGGGCAACACCACTGTAAAATTCTGAAATAAAGCAATTTTTTGCAATTTTTTTTTAATGGAAGGAAAAAATGACAGTGTTCCAGAAAAATATATATTTATTCGTAAATAGTACAAAATGACGACGGAGCCATTCTCGCGAGGTATGTTGAAGTTGAGGTGCTCTGCATGCAATTGACGCTTTGAATTTGGAAAAAAACTACACATTTGCTCTTAATCTTCATGTGTATGATTAGAGAAATACGAAATTTCTTTAAAAAAAAGGAGCAATCATTTGTCAATAAATAATGTTAATATCAACTTCTCTTAGTACTGTTATTTATGGTCAAAATTTGGAGCTTCTAATTGGACACGAACTCCAACATCTGTTAGTGGATTAGTGAAGTCACTAATCAAAAGTCATTACCCCATTACCGTACCCTTCCAGCAGGTGTCCATTAGCCGTAGGTAGTCGTTTCGGAGTAGTCCGAAGCACTTGGGAAAGCCCTGAATTTCAAAGAAACTTTTGTACATGCATAAAACTTTTTCTTCTTATTCTGGAAGGTGTAAAGCATCCTTTAAATAAAAAAAAATTGATTTTTTGAAAATTATACAGAGGTCTTACCCCTTAAGGAAACGAGTAATGATCGATCTATTATTTTTGTAGTGACGTTGAAATTTTGAGAATCTGTGAGAATACATATTTCTCAATATCTCTGCCACTGATTAGCACAATAATTGTATAAAAATTAAATGCATCTTTGCCTTTACTTAGTTGAACAGACATACCATGTAACTTTTCTTAATCGAAGTCGAACATCTTTGCATATTTATGATATATTTCAAATTATCACATTTATTTACTCATTTTATCACATTTTTTGTCACCATGTCACCATTGATTTATTGACATCTGCCCATAAATTGTATACATTATACACATTAGTATCTTCAAATGTCCATATAACTCTCTTATTAAAAATGATTTGACTTCAATTTGACCAGTACATGTCAAAAGTGTTTTTAGAACACGTTTTGGTCTGGCATAAGATTAAATTTGTTTTTTAACCGGTGTGTATACATATGCATACATTGAATACACTGAGTTTTCCCTTACAATATCAATATGACTTTGTGTACCACACTTCATGTCCACAATGTTTCGTAATTCAACATATTTAATTTAAAATATCTTGTTCTAATGACTGGGAGACAAAGATTTATAATTTCAAGGTTCATTTCAGCTAGAAAGGTTTTTATTATTTTGACTACTAAGAGACATATGTTTTTATAAGAAGTCTCTTGTGTTGTACGCCGAACTTTGAAATATTCGAAATCATGAACCCACTTTTTCAAAAATTTCGAATTCAATAACTTAAATATTTCGAATCTCCTGCATCTTTAATAACTGATGCAAAATTTGATTGTTTTTTGGATACATATGGAAAAGAAAAATATGAAGATATATAAATTTCTCACAGTTTCATAAATAAACATTGTTTCACGTGGTAAATTGTATTGCGATATACAAAATTACCACTGATTAAATAACATTTTTCACTCAAATTTCGTTTATTTACTTAAGATTAAGTTTTATAGCAAATAATGAAAGTGGCTCTAACCCTTTTGTCGGAGTATCTCAATTTTTGGTATTTGTTCTGAGTAAACAAGTGACTTGAAATAACACCAAACAGAAAAGTCAAGTGGATTACTCTTCGGAAATTCAGGTAGTTAAATTAATGATCCCCTTCTACCAATCCACCTGTCGTTTATCTAATGAGGCTATCGATATTTCAGCATTTCATTTTTTACCATTAATTTTGTGATACCCTGTACAAACATTATTTAACAATTTGAGACATTTTCTAAAACAAAAAAATATGGATTTTATATCGAACTCCTTGTACAGAGTGTCCCAATATATTTTTTAACTCGCGTATTTAATCTGATAAATTTTCACAATGTTCCCCATTTATGTCGGTAGGTTTTCTTAGAGGTTTAGTTAAATTTCGCCTAACGCCATAAGAAAAAATGGAGGGGTTTAAATCGGGACTGCGTGGTGGCCACAGGAATTTGCTACCACGGCCAATCCGGCGCTGTAGAATATGCGCATTTAAATAAGAACCAATTTGATTGTGAAAATGACCTAGCCATGTCGTCTATAAATCAAGTTTAGTGGTACATCGTGCATTAGTTCTTCCAGGATCCGAGTAAGCAATTTCCAATAATTCCACACAAAACGTTAATGGAAAATTCATGTTGAAAGTACCCTATTTTACAATACAATAAAATAATGTTTATTAAAAGCAACTTATCTAAATATAAAGAAAATTGTAATATATTGCAGTATCTTATTTCTTCTGATGACAGTTCATTTAGTCGGCAAAGATAATGTCGCGTTTAGATGAAGTAAAACTAAGTATTATCGAAAATATTTCTTGGAGGACATATCATGAAGGGAGAAAACGGATGTCACCCCTAAATGCAACCCTGTACATTTCAGTCAGCAACGGATCTTTACACAAGTGTTTACTGTTGGGTCACAGCAGGCATCTGGAGATCATACAGCTTCCCAAGTTTTGCTGCGTTAGCGTCTGGTAGTTCAGTAGGCATAGCACCAGTGTCTGGCAGTGGGTGAGTGAAATCGGCTGTGCGATAATGCGTGAGCGTGTATGTGCGGACAGCATTTATTTCACATAACTTATATTTTTTAAATCTGGAAATTTTGAAATGTGTACCTAAGGCTAAAAGGAAAAGGAAATCTACACTTCTCTGGTGATTTTGTGATAGTTGTAGTGCGTACAGTAAAACATGATTCTTTTAAAAACTTTTAGCGTCGTTCTAATATTTACTATAAACACTGGTAACAGTCAAGATACTCCGGTCTTAGGCAATAAAGGGACTAAGTGTTACGATAATTTTAGAAGGCCTCAGGTAGGTACCTTTGAGGAGCACGTTGAATGTTTGAAAATAGTAGTTAGATGTGTACAAGATTATAGTAAGTAACAAGCAATATATATTTAAAATAATACATACAATATCGGCAAAATTTTGTACGTATTATTAATCTTGTGCTGACTTACATATTTATTCTTTATACTGTTTGTGAAACAATATACTTCATTCAGAATTTTTTGTTTACGTGTTATAAAAGCATATTTAATTATTACATACTCATCATAGTAATAATAAATAAATAAAATATAGCTACCTCTAATTCTGATTGCTAAGAAATTCAAAATTCTGAGACTTGTGTGTTAGAGGGGGTGATATAGTATTATTTGAATACATTATGAAGGATTTATAATTTCTAAACTCTGATGTTCCACTGAGCATGATTAAGTTAATTCTTTAAATTAATTTTAAAAACATAGATATTTATATCTCTCAATTGTATATAAAATTTCTCAAGAAACATTAAATTTTTTGAAACTTATCTTTTATCTACAGGTGCATCGTAGTATACGAAGTCATATCGTTACCCAATAAGGACTTATGAAACTATACCAATTATTTTGTTTTTATATGCATGAATATGTACAACAATCTTGGTTGAGTTTAATTGATACGAAATACTATTTGTGAAAAAAATATTAAATTAGTTTTGAAATTAAGTTCAGAAATATATAAGTTCAGTTATTAATAATAATTAATAAATTTGTTTGATTTAAGATATTGTTGAGATGATCTTCATTTAGTAATAATTGTCTCTTCGTATAGGTCAAGTAAAGTGATTAATTAAATTAAATTAATAATTAATAAATTAATTAAATTAATTTTGAAAAATATTTATAGATTTTGTCACTTTAACAATATAAACCTGTAATTATGGTTGCTACAGTTACATATAGTCCAGGAGCACTACATATTGGCATGGATTAGTGAAAATCGCTCGAAAATTATATATACATTGAAAATATAGATAATACATTTTAATAAAATCTTGATAATTGAACTACTCTCATTTTGCTATATCGATTTAAAAAAAAACATCAAAACGCCATAGAAGCCGAAATATTACGCGCTCGTTTTGAACGCACGATTTCAGTTTTGTAATTCATCCCCTCCCCAACGGTTTTGCCGCTCAGATGGTCGGCTTGGCGATATTCATTGAATTTTCCTACAAAAAGTTCACATGCAATAATATTTATAAAAACACATATGGAAGTTTTAAGTTAAGCGTCTTTTAGTACTGTGATATATTTTCCAACACGCAAAACCGCTTCACGAAATTATTTGCTTATAAAGTCAACATTTTTCGCACTTTTAAAATCGCTCCAAAAGTTATTAAATCTTATATAATGATAATATGGAATAGTTAAGTGGTCCAAGTATATGTAAAAATTGGATCGGGTTTTGTGATTTCGTTTTGTAATACCTTAAAGTAGTTAAATCCACATTTATAGTAAAATTGGAGACGTTCTTACATATTAGTTGAATGCTTCAAAATTACCTCTATATTCGTCACTTTTTTACGCTATTTTGACTATTTAGCAACATAAATATGACTTGCGTGAGTATCAAAACATTTCCTTCTTGTAGCAAATTTCATAACAAACAATTGCACTAGTAATGTTTTTTTTTTCACTAAATAAGATGTATTACATACAAGCTTTCTATATATTAATATAGTTGCTTTTATTAAACACTCTTTTATTGTATTTTAAAGTAGAAAGTTTTTTTAGAAAATGTGCGCTACATACCGCGTATCCCAGTCTAAATGAGACACAGAGCAGGTAGATGACGTCAAAATAAAACAATTGAACAAAATATGCCTTAGTAAAATGTCACTTCTTACCGAAATACAAGGTGTTTTATCAGAAATTTTGCTTTTAGTATCGTGCGATTGTTCAAGAACCGTTAGATAAGCAATTTTCACTAATATCTAAACTGCATCGAGCAACAGCAACATCTGGAAGGTGTTGGGCTTAATACTCCTGGACTAATATGGTGTATTAGACATTTAAAAACCAACTGATAATCAGTTCTTAAATGCCCAACTCAAATTTGTTTTATTGTGATTAGATACCCTAAAAGTTTTAAAATTGTTCATAATTTTGATTAGACCTATTTGATTTTTATATACCTACAACTTATTATTTTCTATAGTATTTTTACTTACTGTCAGCTACATTCAAACAATGTTCTTCGATACCAGAAAGTTCAGTGTGCGGAAGATATCTGCCTTATAGACAAGATTCGCTGGAAAGAACTGCTCTATGGGTATATGCCCCATTGAACTATATCACCAATAAGTAACTATAGTAGAATCGTATTCGATGCAAAATAAAGCAAAAAATTGTCGATCTTTTATCAAAGGAAAATCATGTCATCATTTTTAGGAAGCGTTAGATGAACCATATCCCATAGGATAGAAAAATCTTACTACTTCTACATTTTTATTTAGCATTGCGTTTTTAGAAACAATTTTTAATTTATTCGATTTAAGGTAATACTTTCAAAATAAAGTTATAAAAGAAATATTTTAGTTCATTCAAAAGTCATAATAATATAAAATAATATATTCTAGTGATATGTCAAAGTTGGGATATAAGTTTATGAAATTCTTAATCTAGGGCAGGTCAAAAACCTTGCACGTGCATAGGTGCATATATTATTATGTACCTGTAATATTATAGGTTTAGGTACCTATTCGTGTCGGCGTTGTTAGTTATTATAACTTGCTTTGTGGAATTTCATGATAAAATATTATCATATGTCAATAGCCAGAATTAAGTTATAAGTTAAACTGCTGCGGCACAAATATTTGTTTTAACTATGACATCATGATTTATAAACAAAACTATCATCTTAAAAGAATTGAACTTTATTTTAAAACAGTTTTTATTACTATAACCACAGTTTTAAGGAAAGAACGCTGATTATGGATTATTTTTAAAAGAAACGCCCTACCTATAATTTTTTAATGTTTGTCCAATATTTTTTTTTAAGATGGAACTAATTAAGTTAGTTGTGAAAGCAGATTTACTTCTTTTTACCGCCCTCGAATACAGGACAGCCTTAGAAAAAAAAATATGAATGCGAAAGTGTCTTAAGTGGAGAACCCTATACAGGTCACTTTTAAGGTGTACACCATTAGTATTTCCTGAACATAGAAGATATATAGTAGGGTTGGTTAAATTACAAAAAAAGTGCATATTTTCATGCGATTTTAAATTATGAAAATAAATTGGAGGTAAGTTGCGATATAAGTTGAAAATTCGTTTTTGTAATTTAACTAACCCTATATATCTTCTATCTCAGGAGACACTAATGGTGTACATCTTAAAAGTGACCACTCTGTATAGAACAATTTCTTTAATATACAATATACATGTTTTGATTTAAATGTTCAATTTTTCTTTTCTACACTTTAATTTTTAAATTCATAATAGTCTTACCACCAAGAATCTAATTTGAGATTGAACTATCGTGCCGATATGAATTAAAAAGTCTTATCTAGAAAAAATCTACCGAACACAACTAAAATATCTAGAACTTTCCAGCACTTTCGGTTATACCGGAGGTAGACACCAACTTCGTTATTTTAAATTGAACACCCTATATATTATTGCATTTTCGAATTCTACGTGAAATTTGAGGGTCACTTTATTAAATATCCCCTATACCTACGAGTTATAGAATTTGAGATATTAATTTATAAAGAAAAAAATTGACAGATGTAATAGTCCGCGGAGATGCTAGTCTCTCTCTCTTTTCAGGAGCGCGACGTAAGAGAATTTTTGGTAGGTACCTGTAAAGGGCATAGGTAACATTACATTATGGCATACCAATAAATTAAAACATTTAGTAATGGGTGTTTCATTTTTGCTGTTACATTTTGATAACTTCAAACAGTTATACCTTAGACAAACTTGACAAATGTCAAGTTATTTTAAATGTTTTGGAGTGTTTCTGGTCATGGCTAATATGACAACAGGTCTGCTACGAGAAAAAGTGTCCAAAAAATAGAGCATTGCAAATATCTCTAAAAACAGTAATGCCAACCCCAACAATACTTATATGACTTAAAAGGAAGGTTCAATCTGCATATGACAGGGTAAAAAAATATAGGGTGTTCAATTTAAGTTAACAAAGTTATATCTTTTTGAGGTTATTAAAATGTAACGGCAAAAATGAAACAGTATATTATAATAGTATTAAATGTTTTAATTTATTGACATACCATAATTTAGCGTTACCTATACCTTTTACAGGTACCAAAAATCCGCTTGATATCACGCTCTTGAAAAGTTAGCAGCATCTCCGCGGACCCTTACATCTGTCAAATTGTTTCTATAAAAATTAATATCTCAAAATCTAGAACTCCTAGATAAAGGGAATACTTAATAAAGCGATCCTCACATTTCATGTAGAATCCGAAAATGCAATAATATATAGGGTATCCCATTTAAAATAAAGAAGTTGGTGTCGATGTTTTAATTGTGTTCGCTCTAGGGACATTGCCATGTTGCCAAATTTTCAAATGACGCAGTTCCCGGTGGGACACCCTTATAATATCTCGGTTAGACTTGATTATTTCGAAAAAAGATTCGGGCAAAAGTCATAGGGCACCAAGGGGGCCATTGAAAGGTCCATATTACGACTTCCGTTCTGGACCGGAAATTGTGTTTTTAGACCGGAAGTTGATTTTTTCAAATGGAAACACCCATTTTTTACCACGGATTTCGATTGAAAAACGAAAAGAGTCTTTTGTTTTCATAATTTTTTCGATTTAACTCATATTTTGGCCATAAAATGGCCATAAAAACAAAAAAAGAAACAAGAATCTTGAGCTTGTTGGCATCACTGTTTAAAAAAAAATGTTTCATACAAAAGTTGCAGGGTAAAAAGGGGGCTATCTTGACATGACCTTTACCTTGACTTCAAGGTCGTTTGAACATCAAATTCAAAATTTCTTCAGCAAATCATAA